TCACCTCCCACGGGTCACAAGAAGCCGTTCTCTCACCTCCCACGGGTGCTCTGGCCACGGGTCCTCAGACTGGTGCACACGAAGCTGTTCTCTCACCTCCCACGGGTCTATAGACACCTGTTCCGAGTGATTTCCTCCGCCACAGCTTTCCACAATATACTGGATTCCCCTTGATCAGCTGTTTGCTATGCATCTAGAAGTTTGACCTGTCTGCTCAAAAGAAGATTGCATAGCATCAACCATGTTGAGCCATGCCTTGCATTACTCTTGAATGCTGCAGTGCTATTAGCTACTTTGACGCAACCCTTGTTGCAAGCGATAAGAAAAATAGAAAGAGGAGGGTTGAGCACGCAACGCTGTAGCAGTAAGAGTAATGGGGAAATACTAGACACACACAACTGCATTAAATTTGGTCAGAGTAAAGGGCAAACCTTAGACACACACAGAACACTACTAACAAACACACACACACACACCCACGAGACCAGCGCTGCTCGGCGACTCAAGTTTGTCCACGTTTCCATGTGTCCAGTGCTTGGCATTTCAATGCTGAACATGTTTAGTTGGCCACTTTAAGATCTTGGGATATCTTGGGTTATCCCGGGTCCCCCAATCCAAATCCTGATGTTTGAACACACTTGTTGCACATGTTTGAGTGGACAATCCCAAAACCCAGCAGATAAGAAGCACGTGTTTCTCGCAAGACACAAGTCGATTCGTTCAGTCTTTGCTGCGCGTGGGATCTCTCAGATCACTTGTCAGCGATTGTCATCGATCACGTCTCCCCTGCCAGTTAGAAAGTAAACATTGAAGATTTCCATATACAAAGAACACACGCTGCAGATGTGTAGCCCTACCTTCGGGATCTTCCTCCCCAGGCTCTTCCTCTTCGCCCTCCATTTCAAGCCCATCCAAATCCTCCTTCTCAGCGGAGGCCTCCACACACTCCTGCGCCTTTTTCTTTGCCAAAAGTGCAGACTCCATGGATTCCTAAGGGCCACGGAATCTCAAACAATAGAAACCTGGACACTGGTGGACATTGAAAACAGCACAGGGTTCAAACCCCACAAGCACACACCCTCAACTGTGAAGTTCACCAAAAGGGCAAGCTACTTGAAGAAGTGTTGCTGCCGCGATATCTCCATTTGTTCGGACCAGCTCCTCCTGGATCGCTACCTAGCCCACACACCAGTTTCAATTATGGTTCAATCGTTCTTGGGTATGTTTCAATCGTTCAATAGTCCCTGCATGCGTTTTGTTGGTTCTGGTCGTTTTTGACAAGCGTCAGCTATGGTCTCCCTCTCATCGGGAGTGATCCCGTCAGCAGGCTTGAACTGGGCGCAACTATTACATAGTTCAAAGATGTTCAAAGAGGGCGCAAAACCAAATTGAAAGAACATGGAAGGTTATGAACTTCATTGAACTTCAATGTTTATGAACTTGAATGTTGATTTAACTTAATGTCGATCAGTGGCAAGCATCTTCTGTGGTCCATTGATCTTGTAACCGAAGGTTCCGTTCTTGTAGCGGCAGATTCCGATCTTTGCACGCTTCGGTTCATCTTTCGGAGATGACGATGCAGCTGGGCGTTTGTTTGAAGCTGGTCGCTTCAGAACAGGTCCACCACATGGAAACTCAGGTTTCTCATCTTGTTTTTCCGGTGCATGCTGCTTCTGTTTAGGAGCAGCTTTCCGCGGACCCTTACCCTTGGCCTTGGGTTTAGGTTTGGGACTGGGTTTTGCTTTCGGTTCAACTGTTCCTGCTTTGGGAGCAGGCTCCTCGTCGGAGAGGTCCTCGACAGGTTTCAGGACCATGTTCAACAACCTGTGGTAGCCGGACATATGCCCGCAGTGCAGCCCGTTGTTTTTCGAGCAAAACCATGGACCATTGCATGTGTTCATAAACACTGCAACAATTGCACAAGACACAAGCATTCACTGCACATATGTTGAGGGGATTGTAAAGCTGTGTAACAGGTTTTCAACCAACATCAAACTAAAGCGACAACGCAAATCAAGCTAACATGGGAAACGCACTGTAGCTTCCGCGGTAGATTGGGATCGCGTTGGCCTCTGGGTGCGTTTCTGCGGTTTTCGCCTGAGAGTTCTTTCTGGGTGGTCAGCCCTGAACACATGAAGGGCAATGAAAACTATGTCAAAACCTGCACTGACTGGTTTCGCTGGGATCATTCTTCCTCTGGTGGCACCCGGTGTTGAAACGGCTTTGATGTTTTCATATGCTTTCTGAAAACATGTCAAAAGGTCCGTTTGCTATGTTGGTGCACAGTTCAGAGGTTCCCCTCTGACCCTCAGCAACCTGCGCTCAAGGCTCTCATGGCCTCATGCCTTCAGCTGCACACAGTGGCCAGCCGGGATGCTCAAGCTGCAAAGCAGGTAGTACTTGGGCTTCACAGGCGATAGGACTGCTGGAACTTCTTCTCCCACCTTCACCTTGCCAAGCAGGTGGCAAAACTCAACCAAACAGAAAGAGATCGATTGTAAACAGAAAGTGAACGTCAATTTATGAACATCAATGAACTCACTCACGAATCCCCTCCTCCCAAACGATATCGAAATGCGCTGCACTAGGAAGGGTGTTGAGCTTGTTCAAATAGACAGCTCCAAGCATTGACGAGCGCATGTTTCGAAGATCTGTGTTGGTAGGCACTTGCTTTGGCTTGAAGCTGTTGACATTGGCAGCAGGGGTGATCTTGTACCGATACCGAAGTGGAGTTGCATTTCCATCTGGACCCACCTGAAGGGTTGAACGCAGCCATGAATCAAACCCTTTTCCATGTTATTGAACCCTTTTCGATGACAAAACAGGTTTTAGACATGATATACCCCACCACTGTTCGCGCTGCCATGGTATGGTCAATGACCCGCAGTTCTGTGATTCCTTTGTTCTTCACTGTGTCACACATGCAGTCTGCAAGGGTTTGTAGCTTCTTCTCAGACGCATCCCCAATCATGGCCACAAGAGTCTTGTTGCAAGTGACCAGCCAAGGGACGCAAGACGACTGCACAGGCCCGTCGCCTGATCGAAAGTTTCAATCTTTCATGACAAACACCTTCAACCCAACTAAGACCTGAAGTAAACATGTTCAGGGGTTAAACATGTGTGGCCTAGAACAAGTCTAGCCATGTTTTGCTTTTGCGCCTGACGGAACTTCCTGATATGTGCCCACATTGAAGCCGAAGAGCTCCCCCGCAGCCAAATCGACTCCAACAGTTCCCCGGTTCAAAATCCAAAGGCTGTCCGATGTGTTCCCAATTTGGAGTTCTGTTGACCGAGCTATAGTTGCGCATGCTTCCAGCCTTAACTTGGATAAACCAGAAAGTTCTAAGTATTTGGTAGTAATATACAAACAATACACTTCCACAAGTGATATATATATATATATATATACAAAGGATCAAAAAGGGTTCCATTCACAACTAAAGGATCAAAAAGTGGTATATACTAAAGGATCATCCCGGGAACGAATGGCGCAATTCAAGTTCAGCAACTGGGATCGCAGTCAGGGAAAGTCTCTTTCGAAAATTGATGGGCACCTCCCCAGCCCAATCCGGCGAGGCCGATGTTCGCAGCGTTTTCGACGGTGCAGGCCCAGTGGTGGAGGAAGGTCGCCCGCTGCCTGAAGACCACTGCTTCACAGCTAATGCCATGTCCCTTTTCTCTTCAATCTCATCCATCAAAGACTTCAAGCCATCAGCTTGCGATTGAAACTTATCCTTCACCAAGTCTGGAATCCTAGCATTGAGCTTCTCAGATTGAGTCTTGTGGTAGCCTTTAGCATTGAGAAAAAGAATGCACTAGAAAAACATAAAACCAATCCCATCCAAAATGCTTGATGGCCCCATCAACGACAGATAATATGTCCAGGGATGGCAAAGCATCAGCAAATGGGACGGACTCCCTTGCCTTTGGTCCTGCTGCAGTGCACCCATCCCAATATTCACTCATGGCCTTGCCAGCAATCAGACTGCAGGCTGCTCCCATCTCCGCTGCCTGGTCGTTGTGGTAGAGGCCCAAGAAGCGCACATCAGGCTGCCGGTCGAACTTGTCCTCTTGGGTCAGGGTGCGGCGCTGAAGGTCCCAGGCAGCCAAGCCCCACTCATTGAACCTGCGCCAGCATCAGTAGACATGTTACGTTGAACCTTTCAAATCAAAGGGATAGAACCAACTGGTACTTTGTTCATTTAGGCGCTGACCAGTGATGAATTGGGATGAGCCTTGCCTTGAAGGGACCAAATCAACAATCAACAGTGGGGTCTCAGGGCTCAAATCCATGCCCTCCAAGAGTTCCAGGATGATGGTAGTCGTAGCTGCCACCCCACGTTGCTGCACCTCAGAGTGATAGTTCATGGCGCTCATCATGGTTTCCCAGCGGTGCATCTTTTTTTTCAATGAACCCCACTCAATTTAAACAAAAAGTTCTTCAAGTTGATGCCAGGAACCCGCCAATGAGGTGCCAGTGCAAAATCGGGGTCTGGGTTCTGCAGTTCAGACACTCTGCTACGAGATACCCCCGAAATGGCACCAAGCAATGCCTTTGATTTGGACCAGGGAGTCCCAGCACCAACAGCGCATGTAGCGGCAATGCCTTGGTGTTCGCCCCACCCTCAATATCCCTCAATCAAACATTGGGTGAACATGTTTCAAAAAAGTTGCACTGCTGCGATGTTTTGCGACGATCTCCTCCATGCTGAGTGATTTGGTAGCTCAGGGCTATATCATAGGTGTTCATCACCCTGAGAAAGCCCCAAGCCCCGAAAAATTCACCAAGAATCACACACTCTTCGCTTAGTTCCACTCTGTGACCAAGGCGCGCTCCAACCTTATCCTCCATCAGACGCCGGTTCTTCAACACCGTCGCTTTGGAGGTGCTCGTGTGATGCTGGGGTAGCATCAGGAAGCGCAAGCTGTTGGGGTTTCCGCTGCACACTGTGTGTGCCAATCCAATTGCCTCATCCACCACCAATGCTCCTTAGATACTTTAGTCTGGGGAACTTCAACTTGGTTGTCCTGCATCAGCTTGCAATCCAAAGGTCGATGGGGCCACAAGGTGCAATCCACAATCAGCAGGCTCAGACTCAGGTATTTTGTAAAGGAGGGCAAGACTGCGTTACTTGGAAAACCGATGTCTATTGTAAATTGATATGATACAACTTGATTGCAAACTTTCATAAACTATTCAATTGAGATACCCTCCACTCCCCAGATCTGCTTGCGTACGCACCAATGTAGCATGCCCCAGTGACAGGGACGGGTGGTTCTGTGTCTGGTACTTCTTGTTCATCCAGTCATCCACAGTCTTCTTTCCTCGGATGTAGCGGTCGTTGATGTGCTTGTAGTCCAGCGCTCCCTGCCACGTTCAGGCCATTGTCGGGATCAGCTTGTGACTTGAGGAGAGAAGGGTTTCAGGTAAAACATGAACTGGCCTGTTGAGAAGTGTAGAGATCATAGTTCTTTGCCCACGCGCAGAGCTTCTCCGTATCACAAAGGGCCTGGAGCTTCGTTTGTTCCCATGTGGTCTGGAGTAGCTGCGCACTCAACCTGACGACGACAGTAGTAGCGACAGTGACAGTGTTGACATGTGTTCACACCCACTCTTTGATGTTTTACTTTCATTTCACTTCACCAAACATTGGCTGGAGGACTCCGCTGCTCGTTCTCGGCCCTTTCGTTCAGCCTGATGCGCAATGGCCCGAAGACTCAGAACATTCATTCGCCTTGTCAGTGACAAAACTATCAACACACGTGTTCAATAGAGCCTCCTCAAAATATTTTGCTAGATGCGCCGAGAAGATAGAAATCTTCGTGAGATCTGGAGCTGGAACGGTGTGTTCCAGCATTGTTAGGATGTCTCCATCCCCGTGCTTCAGCTCAAACCTCGAATGCAAAAATAGACTCCAATACATGTAGGGATTTGATTGCTCCATGGGTTCCACGCACCATGTATGTTTGATGCCCAAACCTATATGTTACATAGCCTAGCAACGACCTGTGAATCTCCAACAAACATGAATCCGCGAAAGTCTTCGGGACAGTGTTTTGGAAGGCATCCAAGCAAGCCAGAAAGCCACCGCAGATCCGTTGCAGCTGCTCCTCAGATACAAGCATAACTGCAAACACACAAAGAGTTTCGATCAACCAGTCGAAGCATTTTCGCTTGGTTTAGGGCTGATTGCATTGGTTTGATGAGGGACCAAATTGAAAGACCTTTGCTTTGCCTAGGTTCTAACTCCTTCGGACTCCATGCCTTTCTCTGTTTCACAGGGAGAGCAAGCCAGTCCATCTCAAGTCGCGTTAGCAGCAATTGCGTCAGCTCTTCAGAGTTGGTCAACTCCGCTTTCCAAGGTGCAAACACACCTGTAGCACTGCAAAACTTGTCGTTCAAGTACCCGCCCGAGATACTTTCATGGCTGATGAACTTTGGCTGCGTCCATTGCCTAAGACCGATCTTTCAGTGACATTGATTTTGTGAGATTTGTGGTTCTGAAAATACAAAGGCGATGACCGGACCAAAGTAGTCAATGTCTCCCGGACACCTGGCAACATTTTGTGCAGCAGGCAAATCGCTGCTTGACTCTCCTGCTTGCCCAGCGAGTAGGCTGCAGATATGCTGGCAACACTCTCCTGTGCCTCCCAAAGCAAAAGACAGAGCCATCTCAAACCATAGGTTTGCAAACGCTTGAAGACCCTTTCAAAATCAAGCATTTTGTGGGCATTGACACTTGAACCACAATAAAAAAATCTCAAACCTGGGTATGCCACTGGGTATGCCCTGGCCTCCAAGCCTTTGACCGCTGCCTCAGTTGTGGAGCCTGTTCTGCACAGGAACTCGAGCTGGTGTAATAGGTTGAAGGCGTTTGGACGCCTTCGAACCCCGCTTTGGAGGGTCACACCTGGCAACGTGTCCAAGAAATGCAGTCCGACAAACGCTTAACACCAGGCCTCGGTTGCATTGGACTACATGGGAAGTATCAGGCGGAACGCTGTTTGCAAAGATCGTTGAAAAGCTCCTCGCGCGCACTTCTGCACTTCAAAGGAGCAATAACAGCTAGATCACAGAATTGGCCATTGAAACTCTGTGGAAACGGATATGGGCAGGCAAGGCGCTTCTTGATATCATCTGGAATGGCCTGTACTGAGCAAGTAGTGGTTCAACAAAAATATTCACTAACCAACTGTAATTAGTCGTTGAACAACCATAGGCCTCAAGCAACTCGGGGAGCTGAAAGCAAGCGAGCATGATGGACAGGAGGCTCACTGACCTGTTCCAGCCTTTGACTGCAAAAATTTTTCCAGTGGTGAGAAGGTCTGTGCAATCAAAGTTCAAATCTTCCTTGATCCTGAAGCTTGAAATTGGTGTAGACAACCAGATTTCTTGGGCCAGGGTTACTGTAAGTCGCTCGACTCCGGGACAGCTGGCGTCGCTCAAAAAGCCATTGAGGAGTATCAGTTGGCACAAGCGGTGTTGCACTTCCTCGCAGGATCACAGGAATAAATTCTGTCAACCAATGCTGAACTCACACAAGCTTGGGGCTGCGCGTTGTCAGCAGTACCACGCAAACCGTAGTCGCTGCGGTGTGGCAGCTGCCAAGGCCGCAATAGCCAACAGCCCATGTGGGAAGTGGCGTCAGCCTTGAGATATGTCCTGGGTAAACATCCCCAAATAGGTTGAGCTCAAAACAAATGCTAAAGCCACAACTTAGTTTGGAACATATCGGGCGAGGGTGGAAATGTCTTCTCAACGAACTGGTAGAAGCCAATAGCAAACGCCTCCCATGAGTTTTACTTTACTCAAGTGAGCTTTACAACCGAGTTTGCCAAACCTCATCTGCTAAGTGGTCAGTCAGGAGAACATCCAATGTTTTGCCCTTGGAGAAAATGTTCTCCTGCCTGAGTTGGTTGTTGCAATACACATGAAAAGCACAGGAATGATAGGTATACATCAGCCCATTTCTTACTAAGTGACGCCCAATCATCAAACAGCTTCATGTGTGGGAGAGCCAAAGCATCAGGTGGAACGCCAGGTGCATCAGTCTTGCCTTTCTTGGGCTTCGAACCGCCGGCCCCTCCTGAGGTCCGCTTCTTTGGTGCCATCGGCCTGGCTGAAAGGCGCGAAAGTGGACTGGCTTTGGGAAATGTCTCAACTGATGGGTTTTCCAAGAGATTTTCTGAATAGAAAGATGTTCACAGTCCTGATTGCACATTGTACACCCCATTTTGTGAAGAAAGACGACCACTTTCTTCACAAACTGGTTGGGCATTTCAAACCTCGACTGCGCGAACTCTCATTGAACAAGTTCAGCAAAGTATCAACGATGGACACCAGAGTTTTTGTGAAGAAATACGTCAACTTTCTTCACAAAATAGCTTTGCCATTCAGTCTAGTTGTTTCTGATGAATACCTCTTCGCAAACTGGCTCCATGCGTTCATGGTCCCCAAAGCACTGAGCACATGCTCCCATTAGATCTGACCAACATGATACTTTAGAGGCATTGAACTGTTGAAAAAAATATCATAATTTCTTGTGCCCAATGCCAGAGTAGAGTGGAGCTGGGTGAGATACCCCCACACCCTTCCACTTCAGCTACTGCTATGACTCCTCGAAATTGCTTCGGAAACGATCCGAATCGCTTCCCTCATAGGGAGGCCAGCAGCCCACAGCTTGGACGCTGCCCTGTACAAGGCTTGCTGTCTCCGGGCACGGGTATAGGCCAGAGCTTCAGCTCTATCAGGTCGCTGTCGAATCATTCGCAAATCATTTGCAGCCTGGAGAAATCAAGCTCATCGAATTCCAATCTCACGCAAACTCAAGGTGAAGACAGGGTTTCAATACTTGACTCTCCCTAAGCATTGCACAGGCTCCAGGAACTCAGCGTGTGCTTCGGGAACTGCACGGACACCCGGTCCAACCGAAGGACCAGGATAGGGCAGGGACCTGGGAGCATGTTTTGGATTGGCACTTTTAATTTCAGCGCGAGGTTTGGTTGCGCAAGGCTGTTAATTGATTGAGAAGCTGGCCAGTCAATGTCTAGTTGGTCAGGGTCTTTAAGCACTCCATGGGCAATGGATTCCAAAGCATCAGCTGCTTCGAACATGTCAAAGGGATGCTGACCTGAGAAAGCTAAGCTGTCCTAATCCCTGATCCCTGGGTCTCCCTCAAGCTGAGCAATCCGATTGCTTAGGCGAGAACGCATCAGCCTCGCGTGCTTGATGAAGGCAAGATTCTCCTTGCTGTCGGGGTTCACAGGCTGCTGCTCGAAGACTGGCCACAAAAAAACAGTGAGATTGCAACATATGACATATATTACAACCTTTTTGTCATGCTGTCAAACATTGTCAAACATATGGCATGCGCCTGGTGGTGCATCCCCCCAACATCTCATTGCCACAGAATAGGGCAAAAATAAGATTGGCTTAGACTGGAACTCCCCAGAACTCAGAAATTGCTTTGTCCTCAGGGGGGCCAATGACTGACACTAGTAGCAAAGTGTGGATTGTGAAACAGTGGTGAACTGTGACTAGTCTTCGGTCCTAAGCACAACATCAGCCTCATTGGGTTCATAGCAACCTTTCCAGAACTTGTCGTCCAAGGCTTCCCTCGCAATGCCTGTGAGGGTACGACACGCTAATGGGTAAGATATGTTAAGCGCACACTAATGGGTAAGATATGTTAAGCGCACGCTAGGGTTTGTGTAAGACAGAAGTCCTGCATCTGCAAAGCGCAGCAGTGTAAAGGAGTGGGGTGCGCCCGGCCCTCCAACTCCAACAAGGTGCCCATGAGCAAATATCTCCCCCAGCCACATCTTCCTCAGAGGAACCCATGAGAGAAAAAGGGTTGAGGGTTGGAGGGTGGATGAAATTGGATGAAAGTTGCACGCAAGCATCCAGTTCCGATACTCAGCAAGCAAGTAGACTTGTTTGTCCTTCTCCAAAGGCCTGCGCGCAGGATCCCCCAGGAAATCCTGAAGACACCGTTTGAATTGCTGCGGCGATGCCAACTCTGGGTGCGCTTCGAAGCACGCTCTGACTCTGTTGAAAAAAGCGTCCACGTCTTCGTGCGAGTGGCCGCTGCTGAGAAAGCCGCATTCGCAGCCATGGAGTTTCCGTTCAGAGATGAGCAAGCTCATTGCTCTCAGGACTGTCACATTCTTCAGCTCCTTGCTGCAGTTGTCGCCCTGGAGGTGCACCATGGTGCACCTCAGGTCAACACTGCGAGCAATCCTGGACAAGCCATGCATGATGATCTGACAAGTCCGGCTTCCGTTGCATTGGACAGTATGAGGGCTCAAATGAAGATAGAGTCCATGCCCGTGACACAAAAATGTGGTTGAGCTCAATCTCGGGCGATTCAGTGTCACAAAGTCTTTGGCAAGAAGGGTCCGGCTGCGAGGCCAAGAATGCTTTTGCTGATCCATCGAGTCGATGATCCCACAGAGGTGAAACACCTGTGGTTGCACTGAGTCGATCCTGGAGCGTGCCCGTGCGCTCCAGTATATTTCTCGGTCAGCATGCTGACGGCGAAGATGGGACTGTAGCATCGTTGACTGAAGGCGCTGAGCTGCAGGGCAATGCCC